TTACACCGTGCTGCTGCTGCTGCTTTTGCTGCTGCTGCTGCTGCTGCTGCTGCTTTTGCTGCTGCTGCTGCTGCTGCTGCTGCTGTTGTTGTTGTGCTGTTGTTGATGTTGGTGTTGTCGCGTGCGATCGGGGTGTTGTTGACCGTTGGGGTCGTCAGTTCCTCGTGGGCCAGATGGAGAGGGACCGTCGAAGGGTGCGGCAGCTGCTCTCCGCCTCCTGGGTGGTTGGGGTCTTCTGCTTCTTCTTGCCGCTGTTCATCTTTGCATGGTAAGACACAGACAGAGACAGAAACAAACATGCAGACATGCGTACAGACAGACAGACAGACAGACAGACAGACAGACAGACAGACAGAGACAGACGTGCCTGCAGCAGGCAAGATGGGCAGCAGGAGGCAGCCACATAAACGGACAGAGACATAAAAAGGAGAGTCATTTTGATTTTGAAAGCGTGTTTGGTTCGGAGAGGGAGATGAGTGAAGAGGGAGGCAGATAGGCAGGGCGATAGAGGGGCGGCGCAGAGAGCGCCGAAAAGGGGGAGGAGGAGATGGACAGGACAGAAAGAAGGAAACAGGGCAGGGGGGACAGAGATACAGGGCAACCGCGGTCAGTCGAAGAAGGTTTGAAATCCAAGTGCAAAGTGATCATGCTGTGGGTTTCATTTCGTTCTTGTCCTCGTCTTCGTCGTCACGTACGGAAATATCCCCCCACCTCCTCGTACGAGTGCCTCTTCTTCCCCTAACTGTGCCGGGCTAACAGTATCCGGTGGTCGCAAGCTGACCCTTTCTGCAGAGGATGCGCGCCGAAAACGTTGTTGTTCACAAGAAAATCCTCCACACGAACCTTCGTTTGCCCGCCTCCGTTCTTGTTTTCTGGCCATTTCACTCGTTCCGATTTTTGTTCTCCCCTCTTCCTCATCGTCTTGGTCTGACTTGTGGCCGTCTGAACAGCAGTACGAGCCCATCGTGAAGAAATATTTCGTGAAGACGACGAGGCTTAGATTTTCGCGAAACAACGAGAAACAGAGTTGAGAAACAACAGCTCGGCGGCGGATACTATTCGGATACTATTCTGAACTCCGCATAACAAGTTGTCCTCGACAGCAGTAGTGGCGGTGAAATATGAATCTGGACCTCGACCCGGTTTTGACGTTTCTTACCTCCGGACCCGTACCGTACCGTACCGCGTTAGCATGGCGGTGGACGACGGTTGGGAGGGGATGACGGCAGCGGACGTGAAGGCCTACGCGTCCTCGTCGGCGACCCAGTCCTACGGGACCGTCTGGAACCTCGAGCTCTCCCCCAGTCTCATCCTCAAGGTACCTAGACCTATGATACCTGTATTCGTGTGTGTGTTTCTATTGCTAGCACGCTAACCGGTTGGCCAATGACACAAGGTCGTTTGTGTACTACAGTCGTGGGTCCGATGTACGAGGGTGGTGTGACGACAGTACTCACGCAGCAAAATTGATTAAGCAAACATATGGGATAAAGTATTCAATCCGTGATTTGGGGTTAGGGTTAGGGATAGGGATAGGGTCTGCGTGCCCCCTCCCTGTTATTTTTCTAGATACTCTACCAATCCTGTGACGAAGGCCTTCGACCCTCTCGTATCGGAGCGACCCCTTTTTCGTATCGAAACAAGAAGGTACCCAACTACGCTACATAGCGGGTCCAGTCCGTGGCAACCGATTTCGACCCTCCTATATTCGGAACCCCCCTCTACAAGGTTCCCTGCCTGATTGTGCCGCCTGGGTCCGTCCGCCTTTCTACCTGCCGCCTGGTTCTGCTCGCCTCGTGTTGCCCGTCTGGTTTTTCCTGCCTGGTTTCTCCTCACCTGGTTCTGCCCGTCTGGTTCTACCCGCCGGGTTCTCTCTGCCTGGTTCTGCCCGCCTGATTTTATATTTGCGCATCTGCCCGAGCAGCTGTTTCCGGACGTGCTCATCTACTGGAGCTTCGCCTACTTGGTGGCGGCGGTAGCGTTGGTGGCGCGTAGGTGGCGACGGGTGAGGCAACGTTAACATTCACACGTCACAAGTTGGTCCCTGAAACGGTGGCAAATACTCCGTGTTAGTTGCTTCCGCGGCTGTGCTTCTGCACGCCGACGGTGCCAAAACGGCAATGATTTGAAGTACGGCGGTCATTTTTTTTTTTTTCTTGTCCGTTTTTTTTTTTTTTGTCTCGAGGGCTGCAAGCAAAAATGAGGTCCGCACGTTTCTGGTTTTTGTGAAGACGCCGACACCACCACCAATACCACCAACATCATCATCAGCAGCAACAACAGCACCATGAGCAACAACATTGCGTGTGCACTCGTTTCCGAACGCCGTTGCCTCCGCTACTCCTCTGGAAAAGTTGCCAAACGACAACCCAAGCGTGACCCCGGAGCCTTATACAATTCGATCCCTTTTCGACCGCCTCTCCTCGCGACCCTTGTCAACACACAACCATGATGACGACACCGCGTACAACGACCAACGTTGACGACGACGACGACGACATCAACAACAACAACACCTACAACGTCATCATCATCATCAACAACAACGACGTCTTTCATCGTGGACATCAACAACCACTACCACTACCAACAACAACGACACCAACAACATCGTGATCATCATCGTCGTCGTCAACATCATCAACAACAACACATATTACCACGTCACCACCACCATCAACAACAACAACAACAACAACAACGAACAGCTGGAGCGTTTCTTCCACTCCCCTTTCCGGCCCTTCGGCGGACGGCTGCGGCAGCGACTCGACAAGGCCGCGGCACGAAGGGAGCACGGAGGAGAAAAAGGATGCCTTGCTTCTCTGGGGGACAAGAGGGAATGGTGCTCGTGGCCGGGTTCCTCTTCGCCGCCGTCTGTTGGCCGGAAGAACGGAGAGGTTTTCCTGGCCACGGCGTTTTTCTCCCTCCTATTGTGCGAGGGCCTCTACTGGTGAGGCTCTTTTTTAGTAAACACAAAAACTTGTGAAGAGAGGGAATCGTCCTCCACAGACGCTGGGGAGATTGTACCTTTGTGAAGGCGGTGTCCACAAAATCCATTCCTAGGTTCCACGGCGCGGCAAAGATAATGAGCTACAGGTTAGCACCCACACTTCATAACCTCTACTTTTGCCAGAGGCTGGGAGTTTTCGCACCCAGGGTTAGGCTAGAAGTGACTGATGTATAGGTTTTAGTGTGGTGGTTCTTAATCTTAGCCGGGCTCACAAATGGTGTTCAAGCTCTTAGATGTCGTGTTTTTCGAGGCTACATCCATCCATTTCTTGACTGCCAAGTTATCTTGACTGCCAAGTTATCTTAGCTGTCAAGTTATCTTCACTGCCAAGTTATCTTGACTGCAAGTTATCTTAGCTGTCAAGTTATCTTCACTGCCAATTGCTCTTGACTGCCAAGTTATCTTAGCTGTCAAGTTATCTTAGCTGTCAAGTTATCTTCACTGCCAAGTTATCTTAGCTGCCAAGTTATCTTAGCTGTCAAGTTATCTTAGCTGTCAAGTTATCTTCACTGCCAATTGCTCTTGACTGCCAAGTTATCTTGACTGCAAGTTATCTTGACTGCCAAGTTATCTTAGCTGTCAAGTTATCTTCACTGCCAATTGCTCTTGACTGCCAAGTTATCTTGACTGCCAAGTTATCTTGACTGCAAGTTATCTTGACTGCCAAGTTATCTTGACTGCCAAGTTATCTTAGCTGTCAAGTTATCTTAGCTGCCAAGTTATCTTGACTGCAAGTTATCTTGACTGCCAAGTTATCTTAGCTGTCAAGTTATCTTCACTGCCAAGTTATCTTAGCTGCCAAGTTATCTTAGCTGCCAAGTTATCTTAGCTGCCAAGTTATCTTCACTGCCAAGTTATCTTAGCTGTCAAGTTATCTTCACTGCCAAGTTATCTTGACTGCAAGTTATCTTAGCTGTCAAGTTATCTTCACTGCCAAGTTATCTTAGCTGTCAAGTTATCTTCACTGCCAAGTTATCTTAGCTGCCAAGTTATCTTGACTGCAAGTTATCTTCACTGCAAGTTATCTTCACTGCCAAGTTATCTTGACTGCCAAGTTCTCTTAGCTGTCAAGTTATCTTAGCTGCCAAGTTATCTTGACTGCAAGTTATCTTGACTGCCAAGTTATCTTAGCTGTCAAGTTATCTTAGCTGCCAAGTTATCTTAGCTGCCAAGTTATCTTAGCTGCCAAGTTTATCTTAGCTGCCAAGTTATCTTGACTGCCAAATTATCTTAGCTGTCAAGTTATCCTTCACTGCCAAGTTATCTTGACTG